GGCTTTAAAAAGCTTTTCTGCCACCCGCTCTATTCATCCTAAAATATTTTGCCACCTGCATTGTCTCCTCCATGTGGGAACATCTTTTATCCAAGTCTCTACAATGGGAGCTTACTTTTTCTGTGATTCCCCAGGATATAGCTACATTTTTAAGCCAGAGCCAGAGAGTTGTTAATAGCAGGCTCAGCACGGAGGCTGTTTAATCACTTGAATTAGGTATCAAACCTTGAAATAACATCCTTTCCACCCAAAACAGCCCTGACTGTGGTCTGAGCATCCCAGCTTCCTGCCCACCCCTCGCCCGCTTGGCTGCGCTTTCCGCAGGGACCCCGGCTCCGCAGCGAGGGCAGGAGCGCTCCTGGGCACGGCATGGCCAGGCACGGCATGGATACGGCCCCCCGCCCCGAGCAGGCTGTGGAGCCTGGGGAGGGAGATGCTCGAACGCAGGGGAGAGCCCCCTCCTTACCCCGGCAGTACCACAGCCCTCACACCCGGCTCTGTTCTCTTCTCCCGACAGATTGAATTCACTGCAGAGCAGACCGAAGGTAAGTGCAGACTTCACCTTCTCCCAGAGATGGCATCAGAAACGGGGAGTCCTTTTTCCGGGCGGTTTTTCGCAGCAGACATGAGAGCCGAGGCCCCACACATCAAATCTGCTCCTGGGGGAAAGCCCAGCAGGGTCCAAGCACCCCATTCCCAACACGCTGCTCTCCTCCAGGGTGGGCTCGTGGGGGTTCCTCGCAGGCAGGAAGGACATATGAACCAGAAAGTCGTGTCCCCAACCAGCATCGGGCTGGTCAGGAGATGGGGAAGAGCATCGGTGGGAAGGGAGGAGGGAGGAGATGGAGACGGGAGCAAGGCTGGAGGTGAGCGGGAGCCAGCGCAGGGATTTAGCTGGGACTGCGACGCAGGGCTGTCAGGAGCAATAAATGGATCCTGGTTCCTTGCTCTGCGTGGAGGGTGCCCCAGTTGAAGAGGATAATCCCAGCTTCAGAGCCTGGCAGGAAAAAGGTACTTTTCCATTCATGGTGAGAGCTGCAGGCTGGTTCAAAGTCTGGGATTCACGCAGGAGGAGCAGCCTCTGGTGATGCAGGGACAGCTCCATACCAAGGGGCTGAGCTGGGACTGGGATTTCTCATCTCTCCATGGCCAGTTTTAACGCCTCTGTACAGACTAGGGAAGGGACAAGATGTGAGGGCAGATCCTGGTGGGAATACTGGGAGGAGGAGACCCAGTATCATGCAGGCTTGGCCCCTAAACCGGCTTTTGAAGGGAGAAAGGAAAGCCAGTGGAAATGTGAGCAAGTTAAAATGCAGAGATATTCGGATTTAACCTGCAGCAACGTCCCACGGCATGTGATGTGCTCCCGCGGCTCCAGGCAGCCAGGAGCGGGCATCACTGAGCACCCTCACAGCAGTGCCTCCTGACCGGGGACTCGCAGGTGACAACGTCCCTCCCTGGATCCCCCCAGAGCACCTCGAAGTGCTGGGGGGGTCGTGGCAGGACTACAGGGACATGGCATGGACATCATGGGGACAGGTCCATGGGATGGTGAGGCTCAGGAGAAGATATAAAGATGCCAAGAAGAAAACGGAGCAAATCCAAAGCTCTGGGCAAAGATCCCCACCAAACCCAAGGCAGTGCCTACCAGACCATGACGTCTCCATCGCCACATGGAGACCGTGATCGTCTCATCCCACCCAACAGCAGGAGGAGCAGCGACTCCGCTTTGAGTGAACTATTGCTGGCTATCATGATGGACCAGAACCTGGAATTCATTAGTGCCATGGACAAGAAACACAGCTCCGAGTGCTCACGTGGACAGGCTGGAAAGGCTGATTACTTGCTTGGCCAGTCAACTGCTCAGGTGGACTCGCTGGCCTGGAGGCAGCAGGATGAAATCCAGAAGTGTGTGGAGCATCTGCTGCAGGAAAATCAGCGTCCCGCTGCCTGCACGGAGCAGCTGGAGAGGCAGGGGGGGCGCACCCGCCCCCGGCAGGGCCCAGCCACCAGCCTCGGGGTCCTTGGCTGGCCGGCAGCAGAGGAGGGTAAGGACTTGGGGTGGGGGTTTCCTGGAGGACTGGTTTCCCACATTTTGCACCTCAACACCAGCGAGGAGCCTGCTGTAGTGGAGAAGACCTTCTGGTTTGAAACAAGAGGCAGAGACCAGGCTCTGAGCAGCGCAGGTGCACGGTTGTCCATGTAGCCAGCACTGGGATTAAAGAGAGAATCCAGCAGCAGGTCAGGAAGGTGAAAAGCATCCTACACAGAAGGAAAGCGATCCTTAGTTGTTCCTAATTTAGGCCTCCTTCCTCCAGGTAAAATGTAGCACTCAATGGCATGATAATTTATGGGAACGAGCTTAGAAATTAATCTCCCGTGTCCTTCCACGCAGGGCTGGCGTGACATGTGGTCTGCAGGGCCGGGGTGGACATGGTCACCCTTCCCCAAACACGAGCAACGCCACGCTGTGTCTGCCTGGCTGGGGCTGGGGGGACGCCAGCAGAGCAGTCGGGGTCATGGGGTCCCCGGGAGGCCAGAGTCAAGAAGGGGAAGAGCAAAGGGGATGTTCTGGCGGGGCTGCCAGCTCAAGGTGGCACAGGAATCCCAGCGGGATTCGTCCAGCCAGCTCCGCACGGCTGGCAAAACCTGCTCAAGAAGCTGAGGGCTCGTTGAAGGAGCCTGGCGAGCTTCGGTGGCTCCTCGCTGAGGCTAGCGCAGGGCTAGCGGCGACGGGTGCGCAAGGTACTCACCACGTGCATGTCCATCCCTTCCCTGCCTGCCAGGCAGGACTCGCTCCCAGCGGGGTGGGAAATGGGGCCAGCATGGCAGAGGACATCCGAGCTCTTCTTCCCCGCAGAGTTCAAAGAAGCCTTCAGCCTCTTTGACCGGACACCCACGGGAGCCATGCAGATCACCTACGCGCAGTGCGGGGACGTCCTACGGGCACTCGGCCACAACCCCACCAATGCAGAGGTCCTGAAGGTGCTGGGCAAGCCCAAACCAGAAGGTGACAAAAACCTGGGACAGTGGGGACAGGGTGGGATAAGCAATCCCTGTGCTCCCTAGCAGCAAGTGAAGGATTACATCCCCTGGAGGAAGAGTCCTGCAAGAGGAAGGAATTGGGAAGGAAATGACACAGAGAGGCTTCATTCCTGCAAAATTCCTTCAATCTCCCTCCCCATACCATGGCTGACGTAAGGGGTAGGCTGTCCTCAGCTGGGGATGGTGGCAACTGATGCTTAGCAGACCGTATCCTGAGCTGGTGCAAACTGGTGTAACCTGACCAGTCCCAGTGAGGCCGCATTGCCCTGGTGACAGAGGACATACCTGTCCGCTGGTTTTAGTTTTTGGCTGCTATCAGCAGTCTGTGTGCAGTCCCCAGGTGGTGGTACCTCACGCCTCATATGGACCTTCCCATCTCAAGTATGATATACTAATAGTCCCATCACCTTGTGGGGTTTCTCCCCTGTACTCAGATGGAAATGAGACCAGGAAGGTTGAGTAGGAGGTCCTCAGAGGCTGTCTTCAGGCCAGTGAAGTTAATCTCTGACCCCATCTCCTCCTCCCCTTCCAGAAATGAACACAAAGATGCTGGACTTCGAGACCTTCCTCCCCATCCTGCAGCACTTCACCCGCAACAAGGAGCAGGGCACCTTCGAGGACTTTGTGGAAGGGCTGCGCGTCTTTGACAAGGAGGGCAACGGCATGGTGATGGGGGCCGAGCTGCGCCATGTGCTGGTCACACTGGGTATGGGCTGGACCTGGGGAGGGGAGCAGGCCACAGGCCACCCCTAAGCTCTTTCTGGGCAAATGACTCGGGTTAATTTGCTGGTCTCACGTGTCGGAGAGACCCTTTGCATTTTGCTGCTCGTAGGCTTTTGTAGGAGTGAATGGTTCTTGAATATGTGGCCTTTTCCATCTTCTGCCACAGCTTCATGCATGACCCAGGTGGGATGGGGAGTCCATAAAATCCTCAATTATCAGACAACCGTTGCAGCTTGGTCATCTCTCCACAATCTCCCACCAGCATTCTCCAGTCTGTAATGGCACACAGCTCCTTTTTAATGCCCTTTTCCTTCCTCTGGTGGCTTTGGCTCTCTGGAAGACGGACAGGAGGGTCCTGGTGGGCTGAGAACCCTTCCCCTCACCTCTCCATCCTCCTCCTCCAGGGGAGAAGATGACAGAAAGTGAGGTGGAGCAGCTCATGGCAGGGCAAGAAGATGCTAATGGCTGTATCAACTATGAAGGTAGGAGCCAGAGATGCCCGTCGGGGCCATCCCAGACATGGTCGTCTTGTCTTAGGGTGCAAACTGTGTCCTCTGTGAGGACATTGGCGATCACTAAGAGGGAGGTGTGGACCACCCTCCAAAGTCTCTCCAAGGAGAGCTGTGAGACATGACAGTTGGGGTGGGAAACAAGGCGGTTGTGCCAGTGATTTCCAGTAAAAGCAGGTGAAGACAACATGTTTCCAAGGGTTTCAGGACTGTTTTATGCCCAGTTTTGGCACTGTTTTGTTGTAAGCTATCAAAAATAAACAAAGCCAGCATCTTTCACAGCAGAGGCTAATTGGTAACATTTGGAGACCCAGATCGCTCACGGCTCCAAGAGGGTGAAAATCTGGCACAGGGGGTGGTTAAATCTTGGAAACACTAAAATTGGAGAACGCTGAGGAAAATTTCCCATTTCCCTTGGCTTCAGAAAACTGCGGATAGCGGTACCGGCTCATCTTCAAGAGGGGTTTGGTATCACTCTAACCAGGTTTGGGATGGCATGCGGAAGGTGGGGACAGAAGGAGAAACCTCAGTCCTGGCAGAGTACGTCCCCTTCGTCCCTGGGGTGCCCCGGGCTGGGGGTACCCCCCGCTGCCTCTCTGCTCGCCCCACCACAGCTCACAGCATGCTTTGACCTCTCATGCTCTCATTTCCTCCTCAGCTTTTGTCAAGCACATCATGTCTGGCTGAAAGAAGAAACCTCAGGTGAGTTTATCAGGGTCTCCCGCTGCTTACTGAAATTGGAAATCCTGCATATAAGAGCCAGGGGCAGAGGAACCCAAACCCCACCAGCAACCCTGCAGTGGACTAACGCCACAGGAATAATCCCGGGTCTGAAAGCACAAGAAGCTGTGTTCATGATAACGAACCTCATTTGTAACTCGTGCCATTTAAGATTTATCAGGACAGCATCAACCCCATCACTGTCAGTCACCGTCGGGTTATTGTGCCAATTCTCTGCTCGGAAAGAAAGAGGTTGGTGTGGTTTATGGCGATACATTTTTCTAACCCACCAGGAGCTAAGGTGGTCATGAAACAGCAGCCGATGGAATAAATATTTAAAAACCTGCAGCACTGAGTGACTTGATGCTAAGAAAATACTAAGTACTTAGCGAGGAAATTTCTGAACTAAGAAATATCAACATTCCCACTAACATTAGAAAGAATATGGAAAATGTACCATCGATGCTTGTTAAGCTTTTTTGCATTCCTCTCAGTCTGCCTGAAGAAAACAGAGAAACAGGTTTCTTTTAGGGTGAACTACCCCTCGGAAATCTATTCAATTTAAAAGAAAATCCAAATCTCAGTAAGAGAGTTGGCCTTAGCCTCCCCTGCTAGTTTCTTACGGTTTTGTTATCATCTCGCTTACTTTTCTTAAACATTTCTCCTCTCCTCAGCTTCATGAAAGGCAGCAGGGGAAAAAAAAAATTACCTTCAGATACTGCTAAATACACAAATTAAACATTTTAAAATACCTTTTTTTCTCCCCTCTGCAAATCTCTTTAAACATCAGAAGGTTAAAACAGAGACAGACAGAAGTCTGAACTTTGAATGTTCAGCATCCTTTTTATCTCGCTTTTAATCTATTTTTCTCTGTACATCAGCTCAGCAACATAGGTGGTTAGGTGGCAAACGCTGCCAGGGAGATTTAGTTCTACACAAAGCTATTTGCATGTAAGTTGTTTTTTAATGGTGTGGAATTACGGCTATTGACATTTTGGGCTCATCTGAGAAGGAGCACTCTCACCTCAAAGATTCATTGCATTAAGCCCTCTCATGCTTGTCTCCCAGGCTCCTGGAAATGTTTGAACCCACCTGAGCACCACGAACAGCGAGATTCCTCCATCCGTGTCCCTTCCACCCTCGATGTTGTACATCCGCAGAGATGTTTCGCATGAGCCACCATGAAGAGTTGGCCTCCGTGTGTGTGTGCCTAAGCCTCGGTATACAATGAGACACCTGCAACTTGGTTTTAAACTTTAAGTTATTCTTTTCAGGTTTTTTCTGTGACATTTAGCTCATTAAATTTCATTCCTTCCTCCCTTAAACGGTGTCTCTGCTTTGGCTTTGGACTATTCATTGAAGCGGTAGCTGGAGGAGATGCCTCAGCCTCCACCAGCTATCAGAGATGGCAGGATGTTCCCACAGAGAGGGGAAAAAGACAGGTTTTATGACCACTAGATGTGAGGGAAGAGTTCAGACATGGGAGTCTTTGCTCATCAGCCCACTCTCAGTGTGAGACCTGGAGCTGGGCTGCAGTCTGGCCACGTCTTGCTGATGGACGTACGCTTGGAGAAAAGTGAGCGTGAGGGACAGGTTGCATCAGACTCCCTGTTCTTGGCAGGTTCTTCACCTCCTGTCTGTCCTAAAACCAGCCCTTTTTCAGTCCTGTAGCCCATCCACCCTACCTAGCATTCCCTCCACGTCCAGGCCGAACTGCACCATGGAACAGAGAGGGACCCGCTTGGCCCTGCCACTGTCCCTGCCATGGGACAGACCAGCAGGCACCTCTCCATCAACACGCTGCCTGTTCCAGCCAGAAAAGGCCAGAGGCCCTTTAAAAGAACCAAAAACATCCAAGAAAGCATTGAAAACATTTATTTTGATATATCATTGACAGGTCCAAAAGTCTAGTTTTGAAGGCTGGTTTCCAGGCAGTTGAATCCTGATGAATGAGCAAGGGGGAAGGAAAACAGAGAAGCAACAGGTATTTCTGGGCCAGGTCCCACCTCCACCCTCATGGCATGGGACAGCGGGTCACATCTCCTGCCTGGGATGCAGCCCAGCCCAGATAGGGCTCGCCGGGTGGTTCCTCTTCAGGTAGACAGCATGTTCACAGCCAGAAGCTGTCCGGGGGCTGTGTGATGCAAGCTGGTGGCAAAAAAAGGTGGCTCTTGCCCTCTTCCTACCTGCAAAAAAACTATCACAGCATCATTAGAAATGTTGAATAATTCATGACAGATAACTCTGCCCTCCCATCAGCAGAACACCTGGGAGCAGAAAACGCTTTTCTTTGATTTGTTCCTTATTCCAACGTCCTCGCTCTGTGACTTTGACTAGAAATTGAAGGTGCTTTGCTCCGACGTGCTTGACTTCAGCTGCCACTTGCTCGTTTCTGTGCAGTGACTGAGTAACAGCTGCTTTCAATTCCCACTGCTTGATTCAAATGCTCGTAAAAAGCAACATAAGCTGTTTATAGATGCAAGATTAGATTTTAGCTTCTGTCTGTGGCATTTCTAACAGCTTCCATTAGGAAGAATCTGGGCACCTCGTATCTTTAATGTACTATCTGTGTTTTAACCTGCTAAAGGACCATGGTGACAGGGTGAGAAAGGACGCTGCTTGCTGCACACTCACTCTGGGGCCACATTTGCCCTTGCCACCACTGTAGCATTGACTCCTGCAGAGGAACATGCTGTTGCGGAGAGGAACCAAGCAGAGGCAAGGTGGGGGACCTGCCCAAACTTGCAGAGGAAATCCACAGCAGAGACTGGGGGCCCTGCTAGCTGTGATATTCCTGCCCCGGCAAGCCAAGAAGCTGCACTCTCACTCCTATGTGCAGAGTACAAGCCTTGTATTTGAGTCTCCAGCTTCTGTGCAGACAGGAGTGGCACCGTAAATTAAAACCAAAGAGACTCCTGCAAAGAGACAGACAGAAAAAGAGCAGTGGAAAATGACAGAGGGAACTAGAGAAAAATGTGAGGGCTGTGAAATCCAGCCTTTGAAGCACCCTTGGGTAACAGCCAGCCACGCTTTACTTTGTGGACCTGTTCTGTCTCTTTAGGATAAAGCAGAGCTGATTTGTACCAAAGCAGGTCGGAATGCTGCACTTGAACAGACGCAGTATATACCTCTATCTCTCTATAGCTCTATACCTCTATATGTGCCTCCATGCCCTGCCTCCTCCTCTGGAAAAGCTGAGGATCCCAAGGAGCAAGCAGCTTTAGTCCCACAGACATTTAGAAAAACATCTGTGGACACCAGTGAGTGACCCCACATGCAGACCTGCACTTCAGGACTGAGGGAATCGCTATAAATCAGTATGTCCCAAGACAATAGTCAACATCCTGTCCTCTTATAGTTCGGATGCTTTACTTGAAGTCCAGGGGACTCCTGAGGAGAGGTAAAAATAACTCCCCACTCTAAGGAGAGCTGATGGCTGTATCTTCTCAGGCTATGATAAGACAGAGACTCATACCAAAGATGGTCTGGATGTCAGGAGAGTTAGTGCTGTGCCCTGTGAAATGGTAGAGACAGATGGAGCCAGCTTTCATCCTGAGGAGTTATCAGCAGTGCACAGCAAGGCAATGAGATCGGGATGAGGATGATGAATACGAACTGTGCTCCTTGAAAGGCTCCCTCGGACCCCCAGACCCACGTACACACACGTCACCATCATCACTGTCAGTGTGTGAGGCCAAAGGCCTTTCGGAAGGCAGACGTTTCACTGTACCTTGTTGTTTACATCCTTTGTGTTCGGCAAAATTACTTGGGTCGACATGACAGAGAGACAGGTATCTGTCCCAAGGGGAAAGCACTGCTCCGCGACCCATTTTGTTATTTGTCTCAGGTCAGGGATTGAAGAAAGCTTTGCCTTTCCATGCCAACCTACTCACACCCTGAAAGCAAACACCTGCAGATTTACTGGTGCGATAACAAACTTGTAAATATGCTTTTCAGAAACACAGACAAAGATGTGTAAAGAGAGTAGGGAAGCAGGCAGGCCAAGCCTTCCTGCTCTACATGCGACTTTTCAACGTAAGCACCATGCACTCAGCTTTTATTCTGCCGTAAAGATGCAGCCCCCTGCTCCCACAAGTGCTCTGCAGCGCTCAGCCGCACATCGGGCAGAGCCAGGATCCGTCCTTCAGACAGCATGCGTGCAAAAGCTCCTGGAAAGAGCAGGATAGAGCATCGAGTCCATGTGCGTAGGTGTGTGTACATGTGTTGGGGGTGGTGTTATGTGGTGGTTGTATTACAGGAAGCCCGCAGAGGGGTTTGGAGAAGGAAAGCCTCTGCTAGTTGTAGGTGGCTATTGAGAAGTAGGTATTTTTAATAAATTGTACTTTAGTTGTGCATCTTTATGCCATCCTTTTGGGAAAGGAAGAGAGCTCTCCCTATGCCAGGAGTCACGGCACCTGCAAACAGATCCAAGCTGTAATTGCCAAATCATTCCTTTTGGCCCTCGTACCCCAACCTGCCCATTTTACTCCTCGCTCTCTTCGCTGTACCCAGGGACAGTGGGGAGAGCCGGCAGCACGCGACCTCGGGACTCCCCTGTCAATGAGGTGGTCAGGCCATGCTGACCGCCTACGCTGGGACAGGAGATGAGGAAAGCACCAGGCAAAGCCAGCACTAGCAGCCAGGTCGACACAGGACACAGCAGGCCTCCCGTTATAGCGGGAGGGAGACCACGGCCCAGCACCGTGAGGGATGCTGGGGCTCCTGACAGGCCCCCGCTGCACCCAGGACACGCCAGCGACCCGTTTTTTGGTATAAAGTGCAAGTTTCTACCTTCTACGGGTGCAAAGGCACCTTGCAGAACGAGCCCCAGGCCCCGCTGGGCGTTTCACCGCACCCC